CACCGCCGCCATCGCGTTCATCAGAGATGAACTCCTCAAGGTCCCAGCCCTCAGGCTCGTCTTGTGGGCCGGCAACAGGAACACCCTAGCAGACGAATACAACATAGAGGCATAAGTCAGATCCATGTTCAGTAGAAGGATACACTAGAGATAGATCAGCCAAATGTAGATCAATCCAAAATCAGTTGAGAGCCTCATGCAAAGCAAGGATTTCTCAATTGAGGTTACAGTATGACCTCCCGGGCAACTTTGGCAAGCCCATATCTTGGCCCAAGTTGACAGCACAATCGAAAACGGACGGTGTGTGGTGGCGTTATTCTACGGCAATGTTAGACGATCTATTGATGTGCTAGCAGCTAGCTGGCCAATCGCAATACGCCATGGCGGATGAAAGCCGTGATGTTTAAGGGTACCGACGGCGTGCTTGAAGCCACACGATAAAGAAACAGCGCCGCCGTTTGTGACGCATGATGGGTGAAGTGATGTTCCTGGATGTTGTGCCGAGGTGCAAGCGACGAGACAGGTAACGTCGTATGAAGCCAACAGCGGGAGTTACGGGAATGTCAGGTGCCACGAAACTGTGCAACAGACGATGTCCTTAGTTACAAGTCCGGCGAGTCGATAGTCGTGGGTGCCGTCCGCTCGAGCATCTGCCTACAGCGCCCCGGCAGGGTCATGGATGAAACATCGATTAATGCTCCGGATGCTACTGCAACGGGGCGAATAAATCCTGCGCTGGAGTTAATCTCAGGAGAATAAAACTTCAGGTTGGGTGTGCAACCAAGTTCACGTGGCGCCCGCACTTACATTTTGGACTACAGCTGCGCGGGCCGGACCCCTCCACGACGCTTGACAAATGAGGACTCGACATTGGCCGAGGTAGCCCCGAAACAAGCTTTCCCTCTGGTCCCTGGGGAGGAGTTCGCCGCACACGATGTTCGCACTCGTTGCGCTCCGCGGAAGATAGCCGCTTAGCGCATTGCTAGCAGGAAATATCCGTACGATCCGGATCTCCAGGATCGTCCAGGGACCTCATCTTCCGGTGTAGATCATCCCCGTCATGTGCACCCATTTGCGCACCTGTGCAGTGTGGAAGTAGGTCTAATGGAGCTTGCCGACCTGCGAAAATGCCCAACACGAGGAGTAAATGGATGCTGAGGGTGGATCTCGCCGCGGATAGCGCCAAGGTACACTATCAGTCAATAGAACATGTCGGGGGTGATCCTAGGTAGACTGCACGCCGGGAGGGCTTGATCGTCATGGAGTCTCTCCCAGGTCGAAGGCATGCCGGCTTTCTCAACGTTGACGAAACAGGATCTGGACTTTGAGCATGCTGACTCAAGTTGGCGTTCGCGACAAGGAGACGTTGAGTCGCTTCTTCCTTTCCAACCGCGACGCCGTTCGGTTCCGGAACGGGCGATGAAAACCGAGGCTGATATCGACACGTGATACAGGCTACATGGAAGGATTATCGTGACGCCGCTGTGCATTTGCGCGTCGGTGTGATGGTCGAGCAGATGCTGCAGAATGTTACATAGCACCATCGCAGTCATCGTGTCCACTCCAAAAGTAGGATCGATGCGGTATTTGCGACTGAGCCGTGATCGTACCGTACGCAACAAGATCCTGCTGTGTGTTTAGCGCGTCGCGGTTGATGTGCAAAGACATCACATCATCCAACTTGTGCTGATCGTAGCCGACTTTCGCCTACCCGCGCACCTGAAGTCACACTCGCTGCCACCTGCGCCTCGGGAACAATCCGGGGCAGGCGAGACGCTGGCGCAGACTCAATGAGCTATCCACAAGAGCCTGCTTCGAAAGCGACAAGGTACATGTCTTGTCCTGACTTGACGATTCGTGGGCGCAGCTGAACTTCTGGTCATAGCAGTAAGAATAGCGCGGTTAGCAGTGGGCGCGATAGGTCTCGTTGCGAGAAAATCAGACCATAACGACACGAATGAGCACGTGTGTTGGAGAGTAAAAAAACTAATCCAGGTCAGCGCTATTGCGATTGAAACGCGAACAGGACAAGGAGGACTAGGTTAGTACAGTCTGCGATAACCTGATGACCTGATTCCAGGTTGAGAGTGGACTCACTGATCAACGACCGACTGCGAACGTGCGGCCTGAGTCGATGCTGGTTGTATATATGTCCGGGACCTATATTTGCTTTGTTTAAGAGCTTGCAAAGCAACGATGTTCCCAGTCTGAGCAATGCGCTGGAGGGGCGCGCCACAATTGGCGAACATGCGTCCCCCAGCTATCAATTGTCGGTGATGGACACTGGAGGCCAGCGGACAGCTAGCACATGTCTAGTCGATTCCTCTCGGGCGTGGCCAGAATGCAGTCGTCTTCTCAATGCGACCTCCTAGCATCTAGCGATAGCCGTTGAAACCTGGTTGCTGTCAGGCGCGGTGTCAGCAAGCCTCCAAAGAGAGCGATGCTAACGCACGGAGACAAGTGATGCCCACCCTAACCAAACGAGGATGATATCTGCAATGCCGCCCGGCCGAAAAGGGCGAAGTGCGTGACTTGCAGGACAGCACTGACTCGCGCCTCACAAGCCTGGCTGCGGACCGGAATTGATAGCGCCGTCCAGTGTCTGGCTAATCGGCACACCGCACATCATCGGCTATAGATGACGTTCCTGACTAGATGATAACTCACCTGGTGAGCTTGCAAGGGACGATCAAGGCTGAAGCGCACGTCTGGGGAGAGCAGACGCGGCTCTATCCCTGGCCCTCAGGGCAAGGATAGCGCGTCAGTCACCGAGGTGCTTCTGCAGTAGGCTATGCAGTTCTGTTGCTGCGACTGCACCAGGACCCGCTTGGTCGTCACGTATCGGCTGCATTGTCGTCATTGCCAGCCCCGCGTCAAACCGCCTGAAGACGTCTCCAAATGCAGTCGCATCGCATTGCAGTCGAAGCAGCGGATTCTGAGGCGTATGAATGGGTGGCAGCGGAAGCCGTGACCCCACAACTCCAAGGTGGGTGCTGGTCTGGACGAAAACATAGCTGCAAATCTCAGGCTTACGGTAGACGCATCTCACACAGACTATTGGAGAAGTTCGCAGGTCACGGCGTGCTGAGCGGTGCAATTTTTCAGATGGAGTGTGATGGGCGTGCATGATTCTCTCCAGGATGAGGGGAAGGACAGCAGCCCGGCACGTGCACGCTAGGCCGCGTTCGGTCGTCACTTGACCAAGCGATGCCCTTCGCGGACGCAAGGCGAATGTGCGACGACCTTACCATACCCAACGCAACGCGCGCGGAGATGCGCAATTCTCGGGAGATTTTTCGTCGCCCTGGGTACCCCAACCGACGGTGGTGCGGCGTTGACGTTTGCATGGTCGCAGCGAACCTTTGATGTAGGGGTTGGTCGACAACAGCTGGGGCTGCTGGGCAGGGCCACAGAGCAGACGCGACCGTGTGAAACATAGCGCACCGTCCCGGATCCGCGATGATTAGACCAGTGTGCGTGGTCCTTGGCCACTCTGCTCATGACGCTTAGTCTCTTTCGGATTCGCATAATCGCATCCCAGTCGCCATGCTGGACGTCTGCGCTGTGCCTTGTTCCGGCTGCATCCTGCTCTCTTGGCCATCTCCGCACCGCTTCCTCAGCATCCGACCGACTTCGGGCCTGCTGAAGCCACGCGGAAGGCCCGCATTGCTCATGCTGACCCGATACTCCTCCTCAATGCATTCGGACGGCCGTTTCTGGGTCCAGGACGTTGCGGGATGAAAAGAGTTTCGCGTGCTGCCTCACCAGCGGCCGCCGTCCAGGAACATGAAGCTTACGCTGTCCTAACGTCAGGCCCTGGCAGCTGCGGAGTCATGGCGCACTAGTTTAGCTGGCAATGGTGCGGTGGGCGGCGGTGGAGTGGGCGCAGGGAAGGCTGCTTGTGTGCGTTGATCGTCTCATGGGCCAGACCCACGAACTGGCGGATGGCTGGAGGCGAACATCCCCAGCAGGACTGCCTCACATGTCCAGTGTCTCCGTCCAGGGCCTAGCAGTGCGCGAGGCAGGGGGCGATCGCTGCGCTACTGTGGCCATCAACTGTCTGCCATCCTAACCAGGTAAAGCCTTCCTAGCGGCCAGTCTCGCAGTGTGTCATGGCCGCCGGAGACAAGCGTTTCCCTCCCAGGCACTCCATCACGACGTATTGCCTTCGTGCTCTGTCGCAAGTCGTGCATATTCCCTCACGCTTGACCTGCCCCATCCATCAGAGTCATTGCCAGGAGTCGCCAATTATCTCCGACAGCCCATCCTAGCTGTCATAGGCTGGATAGCGTCAAATCCCAAGGAGCCATGTCCATGTCCGCTGGCTGATGCCGCCGTTGCTACTATTACCTCCACTCCCTATTATCGTCCCAGGGCCTGCCTACCCTAACATCCTGGTTGCTTCGCAATTCGCCGACGCATCGATATTAACCCCCAATTATACATAGTTGTACCCGTTCCCTGGACCACTCTCTGGTACCTCCTGTCGGCGAGCTACATTCTCCGTATCGTTGTTTGCATCTGCAGCGCCAGTACGTGCACAGTCCCGCCCCTCTACCACCATGTGGCTTGGAGACTATCCAAACAATTTCTGACCCTTTATACAGTTCCTCCACTCCCGCTGCAACCCATCATAACGACCAACGCATAATTCTCCTCTCTGTAAGCGAGATCACAGACTGCAGTCGGCACAGCTATCCATCTGCATCGTCAACGCACCTGCCCCGCCTTTCGTCCCGCCCATCCAACATCATCAACACCGTTCGCACATCTACTCTCGACAACACTCGTTTATTGCATCATCGACACTGGTAAGTTCTTCTTCAATCAAGCTTGATTCCATGCGCTGACCAGCTACAGCGGATGGTTTTGCTGTTATAAGTGCTTAACCAGCTTCTATTTTCAGGACCAGCTTCAATAAGCCAATCCATTTACGGAGTCGAAACTATCCAAGACTACTTTTCCCCATGTTGCAAGGTATCCGGGCATCGACTCTGACGATGCCTCCCTTTGGACATGATATGTCCCTAGGTGGCGTGCAAAAGGTGGAGGGCTATGGAGACACAGATTCGTGGAACTGGCCTCAACAACCGACCGCTCAACAACCTGCGTACTCGAATATGTTCGATCCTTCCATGTACGCCAGCTTCACACCCTCGATGCAACAGCAAGTTCGTCAACCATCTCGCAATCAGTCTATCGCTACATCTCGCGTCCTCTCGACCGCAACTAGCACACCACCACCACCAAGGCCCCAGGTCACAGGTAACATGGTCAAAGCACAACCGGCTTTCAAGCCCACGTGGCAGGGATTCCTCGATACCACCAAAGATGCCATGACCGTTGTGGAGGCCGCACTTCAAGGCCGTCTCAGCCATATCAGCCGCAGGCCGCATGATAAGGAACGCGCAGAGATGCTCACTTCTGGAACCGTCTTGGTGTACGAGGAGAACGCTTCCGGTATCAAACGATGGACCGATGCTGTGCACTGGTCCCCAAGTCGGGTGATGAACAACTGCCTCATATATCGCCAGCTGGTGCGAGCATTGAAGCCTGAAGAGAAGAAGTCGGCCCTCAACCCATCGTGCGGTACCAAGAGGAAGCGCAAGGAGAACAACGGCCCAATGAGGTCCAAGACTGGTGAAGTGTTGGAGAACTCCGAGGACGAATACGAGACCTCAGCCTTCGACGCGTCCCTGCCAGGCGATGTCGACTCCATGAACAAGGTTTACGCCAACTTCGCCCAAAGCTTGACGCCCGACCAACAGCGACGATTCTGTGGCTCCCTCATCGACAGCTATGAGTTCAAGGAGGGCGGTCTGATGAAGAAGACTATCTCAGTCAAGTACCAGGGTACCCACCACCACGTCATCTCCTACTACAGTCTCGAGGACGTCGTCAGCGGGAAGTTGAAGCGACCATTCCAGGACCCAAAGCTAGCCGACATTCAGCCAAGACCGGAGCTTCTGAATGGCTGGAAGGTCAGCCTTGAAGATGAAGAGAGCAAAGACATGCCCCTGGTAGCTGGCTACCCACACCACATCCAGCCCAGCCATGTCCAGCACCACGTTATTGGAGCTGTTACCCAGTCAATCGGCGCACAGGGCCAGCTCCAGACACATGCTCCTCTCCACCTAACAGTTCCCGACTACTGGCATGGGCCTCAGGTGTCCCAGTATGGCTCTAGCCACCACAGCCCCCAACATTATGCCGCGCCTCCATTCTCGGCCCACCAACCGGCACATCAATACTCCGTCCAGCAGCCTCCGTCGCAGCACTACGCGCATCCGCCATCTCCCCAGCAATATTCTTCCCCACATTCCGCAAGCTCTCAGTACTCCTCACACGCTGCTCCATCCTCGCACTACGCGCCGCAACCACAGTCTGCGCGTCACTACTCTTTCGACCCTCCGTCGGCCACATCAGCGACCTCGTACACTCAGCCCACCTCGGCATACCAGACGCCGCAACCTGCTCCGTACGCTCTGCCTCAGTCCGCGGGCTTCGACGCTCATGCCTTGCCCTCCCAAGACTCGCCAGTCGGTCCTCATCACGCTCAGGTCCCCGGATCGCAACCCGACCAACAAAGGAGGGCTTCAGCGCCTGTAGCCGTGCAGCCATTCAACGCGCCGCAATTCCCTGCGGCTCCCCATCCTCACTCTTATTACGTGACGGACCAGAAGTACGCCCCCGAGCAAAAGTATACATCTAACGCGCCCCATGGTTATTAGGGTGCTGTCGCATTGCATCATTTCACACATTTACCGAGATATACCCACGATCTACAGAGCATATACGAGACATTCATGGAGGATGATTTGGTTGCGATACCCCCTTAGCGACATTTCCTTTGGCGAAGGCGGTATTTGTTCAATACCTGCATGTTGGCACCCCGCGGTAACTGGTTACCCATTTTCCTTATGGATACAGTCGGAGTTGGATCTTTCGCTCTCCTTGTTTATGTTACTGGAATTCTGTATACGTGTTTCATTCATTCTGTCTCTTGTGGTGGCTCTAATACCAAAAGCACCTGGTTTCCTCTATTCCGCATGGTCGTCTACGATACCTAGTCGCACTGCATTGCATGAATCTCTTCTTGTTCGCGTTGTTCTGCTTCTCCATTACCGCCATACCCTTGTACAACTATAACCCGATGCATGTAGCTAGTGCTCCATAGTAGCAACCACTTAACCCTAAACACTGCGGATACGCGCGACGAATCAAATAAATCAATCAAAATATCCAACACTGCGCTTCAATGACCTCACTCAACAAATCGCATGCATCCACCCGGTGCATTATCATACGTTGTTCTCAACGGTTCGGCTTGGGCTGCGCAATCGTACGACTATTCCTGCAAACCTAACCTCGAAACACGATAACTACATGGCTATCCTAGACATCGACTTCTTAACGACCCGAACATGGAATTCTCACCTCAAGAATGATCACAAAATCATCACTACGCCGCATTCCTACGCTAAAAGACACGGCATAACATCACATGCCGCTGCGCAGTCCAACCCAGCTAGCCGGGGAACCCTCCGTTAATGAACAACAACCATCATCACATCATCGCTATCACATCTCGACTAGCCGGTGCCGCAACGCCCCGTCTGCCGTTATCATTATCTGCATTGCACATCGATGAAAGGATCTCGATTCGCGAGCTGTGGTAGCCGGGCCAATCAGTAGTGATGGTAGCGAAGCGAGCAGCAAGGGCGATTGTGGGTTAACAAAGGGATTACTGAACCAGGCATTCTGTGCGAGAATGCTGTGCAGGACGGGGTGGCTTGAAATAGATCCGAGTGAGATCTTGATCCTTTGGACGGATAAATGTATATACATTGAGGGAAGATGGCGCGGGTTGTTGGAAGGGAGGAGTTGGACGCCTATGTGCTAGTGCTTGGCAATGGCAGTTGAGACGTAAATTGTTCGTGCCGGCGCATCGCTGCGAGTCACCTTTGTGGGTAGACTTCCTATTCGTCGGATCTTTATCCCGCCTATGGATATGGAAGTTTGCGTTGCATAGAGCTGGATGGCGACTCGAGGGTGCGATACGAAGCCGGCGAGTAATGGAGACTCCGACGCTGCTTCGGGACTTTGCATTGCTCTATTGAGATCGCCATGAAACATCTTGCTTTAACGGGCATCGTGGAGACGAATACGAAGAGTTTCTTTTCGCAAAGTACCGTACCTAGCCCTACAGAGTACCGTAGGAAACCGGCTTCGTGTCTTTGGTGATGCCCAGATGTGATGGCCAAGAGCTGATCAGTGATACCTCGCATGATTGAGGAAGTTTCAACAAAGTCAAACCGGATTTCTGGCAACACTGTGACATTTGTCATTGACCGACAATTCGTGAAATGAGGATGACTATACATCTGATGGTCCTCGGTCGTTTCGCGGAACTGTCATAGCATTGGGTCGCGACCGGCTCCCGAGTCAGGATAAAAAGATAGAAGCTACTCAGTATACTTGTCACTCAAGGGAAGTATCGTACGCACTGCTGCCTGATGCATGCAGTATGTGAGTCGTTGTGGTGCGCGATTCGTAAGTAGTACGATGTTCGTGCTATCTCGAGGAGCCGCGTCGCGTGCGCGGACGCGGCTGCCATCTCGCTTGTTCCTCCCTGCCACCCATTTTTCCCCACCATCCCATTTCTCTCCTCTGTCTTTCGGCATCGTGCCAGCACCGAAATCCATCGGGAAAAGTCTCTACGCATCCGTCACCGCCTGGTCCACGTTCGAAACATACGTCTCCATTCATGCATCCTTTACAGGATGCTTCCACTGCTGGTACGACACGTAAGCCTGGAAACCCGAGATTCCGAGGCCAAGGAGTCCGATGATTACCGCGATGAAGACTCCGATCATTGTTGCCATCATCATGTACCGCTGCGCACTGTGTCGATGGAACCAGTTTGCCCAGTCATGGCGAGGAGTTGGGTTCTGCATCTCGTCGTAGATCTCCTTGAGGCGAGTACCGAAGTAGGTGTGGTCCACCTCGGGGTCGTCTTTCCGCCGGTATCGGGACACGTCGTATCGTAACAGATCTGGATCAAAGCCGCATTTTGTGATGTATGCACCAGACCGGTCGTCAGGGAAAAGGATGTTGTACAGTATGTCCAGGACCTCCAAGGCGAGCGATCGTGGGACCAAGCAGCGACTTCCATCCGGTCGACTTGCCAACAGCATCTCCTTCAGTACAGCAGAACAGTGGAAAATCCGGATGACCTTTCTCTTTCCACTGTAATCCATTGTCAAGTGGCTGCGCAGATCATCTGTCGGTTCGAGCCTGAACCCAGCCTTCACAAGTTTGCTCGCAGCCAGCGACCCAAGAAAGTCAGACAGTCTGGTGTCGCCTAGACTACTCCCTAAAAGACCAGGACTCGTACGTGGAAACGCTTCGCAAACGAAGTCTGTGACAGTCACGTCGCTCCGCCAGGAGATAGATGGGCCACCTTCCTCCAGGAAATCCGCACAATCCAGCGATGTTCCACAATTGGTCATGAACATAACACTAGCTGCTATATTCACCGCTCGGTCCTGATCCACGGCATTTGTGCAAAGTTTCCCGTTCGAATTTCCGACCGAAAAGTGAGAATTGAGAATGCGCTCTCGGTCTAGGTCTGGGTTGTCTCTGATAGCCTGGATGAGGCGGAGAAGGTCATCATGGGATGACAAAGCTGGACACGAGAACGTGGTACCTTCTGGCGCATATTCCTCGGTCAGCGCCCTGTACCGATCCCAGAATGTGTCAAATCGTATTGCGCCCCTCCATGGACATTCTTGCTGACTGCACGTCGCAGCCCCATTGCATGTGCTACAAAGGTTCCAGTTCCACATAACCTTACCCAGCTTCTGCAGTTGTTCGTTATTCACCGTGTTCAACAAGAACGGTGTCGTGGGAGTTACTGCCATCTGTGGATGAGACTGGAGCACTTGTCGTGTTCGAGCGAGGGATGCCTTGGAGCTGCTACTTTTTCTTGAAGTTCAGCCTGCCAGGCTCACGCGTGGCTGAGTGTCTGCATGATTGGCCGCCACACATGCAGAGCGACATGGCTGTACTTCAATTCATTCGAGTTTTGGCTGACAAGGCACTCTTTCGGGCAGATCTGGGCGCTGATGCATCAATACCGGGGAATTTTTTCTCTCGCTTCTTACCGGTCATGTATCCCATGCATTGTGTGCTTAGGTTCACAGAAGTAGTGATCTTCTTCGACCCTTGACTTTGTTAACATTCTCGTCTTCCCGCGTACAGCATGCAGGCCCCTTCTCGCACAACAACTTCCCCGGACGCCACAAATACCAATAATACTATTAACCAATCTGTCGACACAATTAGAGGCTTGACGCGATTCGAGAAAGATGTCGACGAGAAGACCAGCCTATATTTCGAGGACGTCACCAAACGCCTGAAAGGTGAGCTTCTGCAAAGCCTGCGCAAATCCAAGAAAAACTTCCGACCCTTCGCCATACGTCTACTAGTCTTGGGAACGGACGAAAACTCAGCCAAACCTTACATCGTCGTGTTCTGTCCAGCCTGTGTTAGCGACTTGGTTGAGAAATATTTCCGAAGAGATACCCCCAGACGGCTCTGTCAACCTGGCAAGGTTGGCCCAGCATCATTCGATGTAATTGTTGTAGGCAAGCCGATACAGCCGACTACATCGCAGCATCTCTGCCCAGTTTTTATCAAAATGGGGCACATGGACAATGGGCATCGGAGATATAGGAATATCCCTTTCAAGATTGACGGTATTGGCGGAACTCGTTACGCTACAATGGGAGGTTATATTGTTGTAACCGATAAGAATGGGGTTGCATCAATGTATGGCTTGACTGCTGGCCACAGCATTGTTCAAGACGATCTCGAGGAAGAGATCGATACCGAGCAGGCCAACGAAGAGCTCAACGCAGAGCGAAATCTCTTTCCCGATCTCACTACGTTTGCACCCTTACAAGTTCTGGAATCAGCGGAGAGCCCGACAATGCGAAATACTACATACAACCTCCCCACTGACTTTCGGGGATCGATCGAGTGGTCCAGCACCGCCGACGTCGCGTCAGCGTCCTTCTCCACCCGAGCATGCGATCGCGATTGGGCTTTGTTGGAGGCAATATCGGAAGAACCTGGCAGCGGTAACCAAGATGGGCAAGCTTTCGAAAGATATATCTTAGGCAACCCTAACTCGTGCACCGTTTTTGTGGACGAAAAGGCTGAGATGAGTCTTCAACCTCCATTCATCGGGCAGCTGTCCCGTCTTCCTTCGTTTGCGATTTTGTCCTATGGTAACGATTTTGTACGAGTTCACACGATTACAACGCGGAAAAATCAGAGTAAGTGATCAGCCCTTAGCTTGGGGTAACTTGTTAACGAAGAGTAGGGATACCAGCAGGCACCTCGGGTACCTGGGTATCAACGGAGCTGACCGAGCCAGTGAGCAGCATGCGGCCATCAAGCGCAGCGGCAACCTGTTCGAATGAAGGGACAGGCAGCACAATCACTGTCCTCGGGCAAGTGGTCGCGGATGACGCCCTCGGAGATGTTTACATGGTTCCTCTTTGCGACATTCTTGATGACGTCAAAACTGTTCTCGACGCAGAAGCAGCAAGATTACCCGAAAGCAATTCGGAGATTAATGCCATCATGCACGTGATACATGATACAGGAATAGCAAGTTCGGAAACTGCAGCGAACGACACAGCTTCGACCCGACTGTCAGAGCATGAGGCTGGAGCATCATCTGGTCCGCCCGATAACACGATTTGCACACAATGCGGGTGCAATGATCACAAAAAGGAGACGTGTAAACTAGCACATGCTAGTGATAATGGAGGAAGCTCCGCGGCTACTTTGCCTGCAGTGACAACTTCATACTCTTCATACGCTTCAAGCTCATATCAAGACAAATATGTCTGGTATTGCCACTGCTGTAGGAACGGTCCAGTCCTTCTCTGGCAAAATATTTGCACAGAATGTAGCCACGAGAGGTGCCCCGGTTGCAGAGTTGAGATCACAGGATACTAGTGCATCTAAAGGGTTGTGGCTGGTGGCTGGGAAGTGGCTGGGAGGCTGAACGTCGCTTACGTCACAGCGACTTCCAACGCGCCATCGAAGCCCTGAGGCAGATACGACCGCCCTCGTCAACTAAACCTCGCCCGATCTTTCTTGTGATCGACGGAAATAGTGCTGAATTGATAGCGATATCCAAAACGTCGCAATCGAACAAGTGCGCACCTTCAAACCTCCGCGAACATGCCACCAAAACGCCAAAAAGCCCCTGAGCCAGCTTCAACACCCGAGCCCAAAAGGCGCGTGACGCGATCATCTACCAAAATAAATACAAAATATACAAGCCAGTCATTAGACTTATCAATCGACTCGCCGGAGGCGGAACCAAATGCGTCGAAAGAAACGCGCGCGCCCAAGCCTAAGAAGCGTTCACCAAAGGATGTGAAACCAAAGACAGACGCGCAGCCCGATCAAGAAAGCGACTCAGCACCTCAGAATCGCACAAACCTCACCATAACACACGACCTCGTCAAGAAACCAATTGAATGTCACCAATACACTCCCACATCATCGCCATCCACCCCACCACCAACCCTGATATTCACCCACGGCGCAGGCGGCACACTTTCAGCCGACGCCGTGGTAAACTTCTGCACCGGATACTCCTCTTCTATCCCCATTCTCGCTTTCCAAGGCTCGATGAATCTCAAAGCGCGTACCAAGGGCTTCCACGCATGTATTGATGAGCTGAACTCCAGTCAATCGACTGCACAAAAGGGAGCAAAAGAGGACACGTCTGGTTCAAAGACATTGTTACTAGGTGGGCGAAGCATGGGCGCCCGAGCCGCTGTAATTGCAGCTACCGAACATCTCGCCTCGCTAGACGACAAGGAAAAAGAAGAACTGAGCATACAGCTCATACTCGTTTCCTACCCACTCCTCGGCCCTAAAGACGAACTACGCGACCAAATCCTGCTCGACCTACCCAAGAGCGTCCGCATCCTCTTCATCAGCGGCGACGAAGACGCCATGTGCCCAATCGATACGCTGAACGAAACGAGGGATAAGCTGACGGCGCAATCGCAGCTCGTTGTTGTTACCGATGCGAATCATGGTATGAATGTCGTGCCTGCTAGTAGGACGCAGAGAGTAGGAGAAGAAACAGGGCGTTTAGCAGCACGATGGGTAGAAGGAGGACTCGTAGAGGACGAGGTGTTCATCGATGAGCTGGAGGGCGAAGAACCTTGGAAGTAGTAGGAGAATGAGTCCACAACAATACCATCCCTCCCCTCCCCTCACCTCCAGCTAACCAACGACTACACCACCCCCCTCCTCTTCAGCCTCCACCTCACCAACACCCCACCCTCCCTCTCAGCCAAAACATACCAACCCCTTTCTTCCCGATAAACCTCGCCCAAATCCTCCCATTGACTCGCGACCTCATCACACACCCGTCTAGCCTCTTCCCCCTCCCTCTCGTTCTCAACACCGTTAATCCACCTCATCAACTCCTTCTGCGTCTCCACCGCGCTGTCCCACCGTTCGAGCAGTTCGGCGATTTTCCCAAGCTGTTTGTCCGGATGGGTTCGCTGGGGTTGCTGGTGGGGGACTTGGTTGGTGGATGCGGTATTGTTTCGCTGTGCCATCTCTTGTAAGATGTCCTGGTTGAGTAGGCGGGCTTCAGGGTGGATGCAGGGGGTGGGGATGAAGCGACGGGTACGGGTACGCCGTAAGGAGGTGGTTTGGGTGGGTGGCATTGTGGGGGTTTGAGATATACGTTGGCGTTATCTGATTCAAAGTAATCAGGTTGGAGGGGATGTCGTAGTCTGGTGTTGGATATTTTTGGGCGTGGGTGTAGGATAGATGTAGGTTGGTTATTCAGAATGAGGGAAAAGGCAAAAGCAGATCTCAGGAGCATGTTGGTTGTGTGCTGGTGAATATCTCATGCCAACCATGGTTTCGCTATGGCACGTGACGAGGTGAGGAATCTCGCCCTTCAGATTGGACAGTAACGTATCCACGAAATTTCTCTTAAAGCCAAAGACGAGACACGCATTCAAGATATCGCAACGCGCTCCGCAGCATCTCCATCCTTTTGCGCCTCGCCTTCCTCTCCACCGCCCTGCCCAACTTCAGACCCCTTACTCTTGAACACTTTGAACTCCTTACTCACAATATCCCCCGTCCCATCACCCACCCTCCTCACCTCCACAACCCCGCTCTTCTTCCTCAGCACAATACTCCACAACCCTTCTCCCACGACCACCCCCTTCAGCCATCCCAGAAACTCCGTCGCGAAATTAATACACACATTCCCATCCCAGCAATTCGTGCCCTGACGCACCATACCCGGTATCTCGTGCGTGTTGAATGTCTGCAGACTCCTCAGTATGCCCGCTTTACTCCTGAAGCCCACGGTGATCTTAGGTACGCCGAGCAAGAATGACTGGGCCCAGAATTTGAGGAGCTTGCGTTCGAATTTCAGAATGTCGCGGTGTTGTTGTTGGCGAGGGGGAGGAAGCTCTTCGCTTGTTTTGAGTTCGACCCATTGCACCTGCTCATCCGGGTTCGTGGGTTTGGGCGCGAGGAGGCCGTCGACTTCGCCGCCGAGGATGAGGCTATGGGGCCCGAAGGATGTGTGGACGATGGAGCAGTGTTGCGCGTGGTTCGACACGACGCCTTTCTGGGACCGCTCAATCTCTTCCCGTGGCGTGTCTTGAGGTAGCGTGGGTATGAGAGCGAGTTTCTCAAATTTGTAACCCCAGTATGTCATCATTTCGCGCGATTGCTGGTCGGGGTGTTGGTAGCGGGGAGGTGGGCGCGTGCTCTCTGCTGCGCGGTCGGCGGCTCGGGAGGGGAAGTCTTCTTCGATGTAAATGGTGTTGTTGTGGCGGGTTGCGAACATGCTGAATTCGGCGAAGTTGTCGAAGGGGGCGGTCATGATCTGGTGGGGTGTTAGGAATTGATCTGGAGGAAAAGCAGCAGCAAGGTAAGAAAGCTGGTTTCGCTTACCTTGCTATGTCTTGTTTCGGCGTGCTTCAACATACCTTGGTCATCATGCCTCGCCAGGTCATGAAGTCGGCCGTGACTTCCTCCTTGCCCGTCTTGTCTTCCATGAGCGCTCTCAGCAGACTGTCTAGATGGGGATCTTCCTTGTCTTCATAGTGTTTGAACGTCTCGAAGCCCTCCTTCAGATCTGCGCCCATTGGTGGTGGTATGTAGTAGTTGATGCCCGACTCATCGTGCTGGTACTCGTGGTTGTCGTCGTATGAGAAGTGTGCGACTTCGCGTGGGCGCTTTATCTTGGCCGACGCGCCGCGGAAGCGATTGACTGGCTGTATCGAGAAGCGATGAACTGGGGTATCAGGCGCCGGAGCCGCGCTCTTGACAGCCGGCATTTCTGTATTCGTCGCCGGAGTTGAGGCTGGAGCAGCTGCTTTCGGAGGCGCGCGAGTTCTGGGTCGTTTCCGAGGCGGCGATCTATCTTCTGTATCCGCCGGTGGGCTTGGCGATTGCGCAGGAAGATCCGTAGAAGCCATGATGTAGTTGTTTGCTGTCGGTGTCACGAAGACGCGCCTCAGGTTTCGCCGCGGGAGTGTCGCAATCCCAACCCCCAGCCGCCCCCACCAAACGCTTGTACCTGACTAGCTACGGCGCGCCATCCATCCCACCAACCCCAGAACACCATCGACATCCAACCTCACCCCCCATCCCGCCCTACACCTCTCCGAACGAAACACCTGTGCAACCTCATACCCCCATACAACCAACCCACCATGGACAACCGCGCAATCCGCCTCCCCCCAACAACCCGCCGCAACATCTTCGCCGCCCACACCGCCCAGCAACAACAGCCACAACCGCAACAACAACCCGCGCGACGCCAGAACCAAGCCGCACCCTCCATCCGGCCTGACAGCCGCGAAATAGAACAAGACATATTCATGCAGCCCACCGAAGACGAGTTCGTCGAGCGCGACGATATCGGAGAATACATTGTCAAAGCGCCGGCGCCTGTGTACAGGGAAATGGGTGTGGGCAGTGAGGGGGATGAGGAGGGTGGTATGTTGATCCCATTCCCATTCCCATTCTCCGGGAGAGAAGACGGAAACTGGTGTGAAGTGGTATGGGGAGATTGCTGACATGTGCATGTGAACAGAGCAAGAAAACGAAATGATACAACTCTACGGCAAGACAAACGCACAGTGGGATGCTGTTGCTGTGGAAGAAGAGATTCGAGCCGCGTTGAAGAGTAGTCTGAAGAAGAAGGTGGCTAGTTTGGAGGATGATAGGTGGATGTTTGAGGGGGAGGGGGAGGGTAGGAAGTAGATGAGAGGTTTATTGGAGATGGGTATGTGGATTTGGGGGGTTGAGGGAACTAAGAGGCGTTTGGATTGTGATACCCTGGTATCTGGTTGTTGGAATTGAAGTTGCTCTGAAATGGACTGATATCTTGTGAATCGTTAAGTGAGGCCTGTATGCCTTCGATGTATTCTTATGTAATAGAAGTTTGTGAATCGTGCCGCGGGGAGGTAGTCAGTGTGAGATATGAGCATCTTCGTAGGAGTATGAAGCATGCCGTCGAAGACATGATGTCTCCAGACTGGGCTTCTCGAGTATGTCAATGGTACATGATGACTACGTAGAGGCGGAGGTTGAAAGATAGTCCAACACAAAAATATTGAGTACATCCCAGGCACACGACATCAATAACAAGTCAAAATGCAAGAGTAATCAAGTTCATTCGCGGACTTACGCTCATCATAGCTGCCGCATCTACTAACCCCCATCCTCAATCCCACCACCATCCCAAACGCCCACCAGAAAAACAAAACCTGGGTATCAAAACACGTTCCTAAACGCCTCTTCCCCTCTCACGCCCGCCCGCCCACCAATGCCACCCAAAATCCCCAAAAGTCTGAAACCAAATTAGTAAAACCGCACCAATCCAAGTCACCCACAACAAAACTTACCCCTCAAACCGCCCCCTCATACTCCTCCCCACCATACAGCCTGCCCGCCCAATTGACCGCATCCTCCAGCACGCATTTCTGGCGCCAAAGCTCGTCAAACTCCGCCTCCTCATCCTCGTGCAGCCCCGTTGTCTTCAGGAAATCCAGCCACGGCTCCATGCGCCACAGGTGCCGCTCGAGCATCGACTCGAGGCCGCGGAAGAACCAGTAGAGGCGCTTCTGCGCCGGGGAGTCGTCAGCGGGCGGCAGGTGCGGGAACTCCGCGAGGGAGGGGACGTGGAGGTTGGAGAGGTTGATGGTGAAGTTTTCCATCTTTGTGTTGATGGAGATGCGGGGGTGAGGAGGGAAGGTGGGTTTGTGGTGGTAGTGGTGGTGGTAGTAGTAGTAGTAGTAGTAGTAGTAGTAGTAGTAGTAGTAGTAGTAGTAGTAGTAGTAGTAGTAGTA